TGGAACAGCATTTGACAGCACCCCTGCAGAAAACGAAGGGAATAATCTGTGTCGCTTTTGACAAAGACCTGAGATCATGATGGTGTGCTGTTGTCTTGCAGTATTTTAAATACATTCTGAAATAAAGGCCTTAAACAATTAGTTATAATTTGGGCTGTTCAGGTTAAGCTCCAGAGAGTGAAGGATGAGATTGGTGCATTGCGTGTGAGTCCCCAGATCCACGAGCATCCTGTGCCCTCTGGGAGCACACCCAGGCACTGCCCTGCGGCAGGTCAGGGCAAGCCCCAGTTTCTGCCAGGCCAGGGACTGGTGTGAAAGAGTCACTGATGCCTATCAGCAGAGAAAATGCGTGAGAGCTGCAGTGAAAGCAGTATCGGATTGGGAAAAACACGGTGAACAGCAGTGAGAATGTGCTTTGGGGAATCACAGATGGGGGAGGCCGGGAGGAAGGACAGAGTAGCTGAACAGGTCTGTTTGAGACAGGCTTGTGGGAGCAGAGCTAGGCATTTAGCTTCCTAATTCAGCACAGTCCTCTGAATTAAAGTTGCATATGTGTTGTGAGTCTGGCATCTGTTATTTCACAAGATGCCTGTTCTCCGTAGCTGCATTTTAAATATAAATGCAGAACACAGGATGATAAAGTTCAGTGCAGTAGGTTATTGGCATTTCCTTGCCTTCCTTTAAGTACTGTGCTGTAGCTGTCCACTGATGATTTATTTAGTGGGCAAAAATTTGGGAGCACACAAATATTGCATTGCATTGTGCAGCAGAGTCAGCAGCCTGGCATTGTCTCTGTTCATGTTTGGGTGATGGAGCACACAGGCTGCCCAGAGGCTGTGCAGTCTCCTTCTTGGAGGTCTCCAAGAGCCACCTGGCCAGTGAGGCCTGGCACCCTGCTCTGGGTGTGCTGCTGGGGCAGGGGCTGGGCCTGATGGATGCTGAGCTGCCTGCCAGCATCAGACATCCTGTGATCTTGTGATTCTTCGGGTGGCCAACTGAAAACCCAGCCTTCCCATTTTCTGACCATACATGTGTAGCAAATAACACCCTGCCATGTAAGTAGCCCAGTACTGCACTTGGAAAGGAAAGACATATTATCCAAGTAACTATAAAGCAAATGGCTAGCATGCATTAAATTTCTCATGCAGGAAAACAGATCTATAGAGAAAAGACACTTAAGCACATAATGAAAGTTAAGGAGATCCTTATGTCCTACTGAAGTCAGTAGCATTTAAGCATGTACTAAAACCTTTCCTGAAACAGGAACATGTACAGTGTAGTAACACAACAGCTGTAAGGCTGATGCTGAAGGGCCCTGAACCCCTGAATGTGCATGTATTTGTAGCCTTACTATCATCATCCTCAAGAGCTCTGCCAAGAGAGAGAAATTATGATGAATACCTCACATCTCATGATGCCCAGGTGCAACTCTTTTGCAGGAGGTGTGCTATGCTCGCCTGGTTGCTTGGCACTAGCACTCCTGTGGCTGCCATTTCCAGCAGTGTGAACTGGTGCCTGGTTCTGTACCGTCATGCAGCCAGCACCAGATGCATGTGGGTATGTGCATGTCATGCTTCTGTAATGTCTGTGCTGGCTTTCTGTATGTCTGCCATCACCGAGCACCTGTACCTCTTTGCTATCTTTGATCTACTCGCCATCACTGTGCTTCTGGGAGGCAGATGAGTGTTCTCGCCCTTTCGCAGGGAGATAGAAGAGGCACAGGGAGATTTTAAAAGTTTTTGTCACATCCACGTGGAGGCACAATGGGGGACATTCTTCCAGGCCCTGTATCTGTGGACACTGGGCTCTCTGAGGGTTGCTCAACCTCATGTGATAAGCTTGTGGCAGGGGACTCGGAATGTGCAAGGACCATGGAGGGAACCTGCTTTGCTGGTGTGTGTATGAGCTGGTGAGAAACCAGGGATATGCAGAAGACCAAAAAGAAAGGGAAAGAGGGTAAACATCCAAAGTAATACATGTATGGGGGTGAAGAACACTACGTGCTTTTATTGCCATTTGATTGGAAGGATGTGTGCAGCTTGTGAGTATCCATTAATTAGTGGTGCAGTTGCTCTGTGCTGGTATCAGTAAAACCTTAATGGTACGTGGTACAGGGCTGTGATTTCTTCCTTTTTCCACATGCCCTTGTGAAGATGCTGTCTGTCAGTGCAGTGCCTTGTGAACAGGGTATGCCACTGTGCCTGATTATGTAGCAAGAGGACTGTAAAATCCTTCGGCAGTTACCTCCAGTGTTATTTTTCCTTATAAAAGGTCTTTGATATGCAGTACTTTCTTGCACACACACAGTCTTCAGCGATTTTCTTTCTTTTGCTGAAACACGCTAATTCTTAAAATGGCTCCTGCACAGGCATTGCCTGCTGCACTTAGTGCCTGCAGTGCGATGGGTTAGCAGCAACAACAGCAAAGGCTCTCCTTCATTTCCTTTATATGCACATCGTGCAGCTTTTCAAACAGTGCATCAAACAACACCGACTGGAAATTTCCAGGCCCATTTCCTGTCTGGTGCATGCTCATAAAGCAGGATTGTCTGTACAGTGCGTAGCTGCAGTACTGCAGAAAGTCAATAAAGAGCTGACCATCTCACCTCTATCAAAAGCAGTTGAGAAGCCCTGCCTCATCTGCCTTATTAAAACCACACTTGACTCCTGCAGAGAGACATAGCTGGAAACCTCGAAGAGAAAGAATAAAAAGGAGGCAGATCTTGCAGTGAGTATTCTCCTTCTGGGTCTTGCAGTAAGGTTAAAGAGTATTTATTCTAAAATGGACCGAAAAAAAAGCAGATTCGTGAAGGTCTTTGTGTAAGTGTGGGCATACTGCTTGAACCTCCGACTCTCCTGTATTCAGAACGACACAGAGATGAGATGATTCGTTATTGCAGCAATGAGTAGATTGAAATAGCTCCCTGATGGATTTGTATTTTAAGTGTAAGGATGTGGATGCATATAGATGTGCATGTGTGTATGGACTTTATCTTAGCAAGAAAAGGCATGCTGTAGAAATAGGTACAGGAGGTAGGATTTGTGCTGCAGAATGTGTTTCAGTATGCGCTTGAAAGGCCGCTTATTTTTTAATTTCTTATTTAAGAGTAATCGATTGAATGTTTGCCAGGCTTTCAGTAGGAGCCACCAGGAGTCCCTACCCCCACCTTCCCAGGGCCTGATAGCTTTTTCTCACCTTAAAATGGAAAAAGAAAGAACTTTAACAGAAAGATCATTGCTTTAGCTTAATATAGTAAGATTTCAGAGATCGAATTTTCTGATAGTAATGAAATGAACCATGAGTTGTGCCATGAATTTGATTGCAGTTAATTAGATTGGTGAGATGCTCAACAAATCTGGCCCATTATCTTTAGCCTCACCTACTTTGGGTTTGTATGAAGTAGTATTCTTTTTATATAAATATGAATGTATGTATAGTATGAAAACCTGTCTGGCAGCTCCGTTGTTTGGAACAATTACTGACTGTGAGTAGTTACTAATAATAGCGTTGTTGGAAACACTAGTGTGCTGCTGACCATTAATCCCACTGTGTTTATTGCTTTGGTGGCACAGGCTTGGTTTGCCTTTTCACAAGGAAGAATACAGCCGAACATTTCAGCAAAGAGACATACACAAGCTCTGTCCTGCAGCTTTTTCCAGTTCTCATTGATCTTAATGAGACTAGTCATATGAATAGGAGCGACTCGTGTCAAAAAGGATTTTTTGGCTGAAACTCACAATTTCTATTTGTTTGAGGTGCCTCCGCAGGCTTCAGAGTGAAGAGCTCCTGTTGTTGCTTTTGGCAATGGGGAATAGCTGCAGAGTGGGGTGTCCCACAAGATGGTCTCGTTGTCTTGCCTTTGCTCTTTATGCAGTCTTCTCCTGTTCAGCAATTAATAAGATGGAGTATTTGGTGACGGAGAAACCTACTGGCATGAAGCTACAGCTAACCAGGAATAGCACTGAAGAGCTGATCGTGTTGGGGGAAAAACAGAAGGAGGACTGTGCCACTGGGGAGATCGGCTCTCCAGGGCAGTGGACATGGCCCCAAGTTCAGGGGGAGTCTGGACAAAGCTCTCAGTCAGAGTTTAATTTTGGGTGGGCCTGTGGGGAGCCAGGGGTTGGACTCTGTGATCTTTACAGGTCTCTTTCAACTTGGGATATTTGATGAATTTGTATGATTTGACATGCAGACTAGCAGTTGGTGGGAGGGAGACCACCCATCAGAGGTAGGAGGTGTAGGTACGGCGGTCCCAGCGTTCCCCTGAGGCTGCCAGGGGTTGTCTCCTTGTTTGGCTGCTTCTGCTGTGCCCAGTGGGCACCCACTAAGGAAACAGGGCAGGCTCTGCCCATTACCTGCCAAGCCCTCATTGTGAAGGGTGCTGCATCTCCCCCATTGCCACCACCTTGGGATAAGTCAGAGGCATCGTGTGTGATGTTTCTCAGGCAATGCTATCTAGAAAGGAAACAATTTTACACATCAGCAGTTTTTTATGATTAATAATATTATCCTGCCTTAATTGAAAAATGGGCTGGGGCCCTTAAGAAAAAATTAAGCTGCAGGAATTAGAATCTAACCTCTTTATGATGAATGTGTATTTTTACGCGCCACATATTGCTGTCAGTGCTTTTAGGAATAATAGCGTGGTATATTGTAATAAAGAATTGTCCCGTGTTGTTTGTAGTTGCGTGGCACCATTCTGTCTGCCTGACTTGACTTTAAGAGCTCGGGTAGAATCCATGTGAGGGTGCTGAAATCCTTTTAGAGGGAATTTATGTACAAACAGGAGAGCAATGTGTAGTCTCCAGGCTTCGCTATCAGTTGTTATTGCTGAAAGATATTCACAGGGAGCTAATGCCAGACATAGCATTAGCTATCTTCAGCCTCGGTGTCTTTGTGGAAAGTTGGTAATAAAATGAGAGAGGGCTCCCGTCGGCATGATTCTTAAACATCAGTGAATCATCTTATGCAGCGAGGCAGTTGCTGCTGGGGTGAGTGTGTGCAGGGGTCTTTGTGAGCCACGTTCTCTACCTAAAGAGGTAGAGGGGGAGGGAGCAAACCTGCTGCTGTCTAACCTGGCATGGAGCCACGGCTGCCTTCCCCATGGAGAACCACAGCTTCAGCAGCAGCTGAGGAGAGAAGATCTGAAAGCAGGTAAATGTGGGAGATGCGAGCGTAGCACCTTGAAATACAGACACCATATTCCCCCCACCCAGAGCTTTCAAATACTCCCGTCAGCTGAAATACTGCTAACCCAAACATTCGAACATGATGAGTCAAATCTCCCTGGAAACCAAGCAGAGAAGAACCCGCATGTGTGGAGTCGCTGGTGCTGGTGTTTGTCTCCGACAGACAGCATAGAAGCTCTCCTCCTCCACCTCCTTCTTCCTCGGGGACACAGCAGAGCGGTAAGGAAGAAAGGCCGGGCTGGCAGCGAGGCAGAGGATCGTCAACTGTGGGATGCTCACCCAAGGGCTCCGCCAGGATGAAAGGTCTGTGTGGCTACCCCTGTCCTTTGTGTTTGGGCCAGCATTGCTATTAAAACAGACCCCGGGGAAGTGTGTGTTAAGGTGCTTCCTTCCATCCCTCTGTCCTTTTCCCCCCTCCCACCCTCATCCTTTTCGTCCCTGGAGGAAACGCTTGTCTCTGCCAAGATCCTGCCTCGCAAAAGTAAACAACATGAAATTACAATAAAATGTTGTGATTTGCTGGGCTGACGCTCAGGAGCTGCACAGTTACGAAAAGAGTCTTCTATAGATAGCCCTGTGAGAAATAAACAATCTTCCATCTTGAGTGGGCTTCAGATCCGAGCACAAGGGCAGGGCGGATGAAGAGCGAGGGATTTCTTCCCCGAACCGCAAGGTCCTTAGGAAGTTTATATTGCAGCAGCTGTCGGCAGCTCTGACATGTTGGTGGTTGGCCATCACACAGTACCACTGATATTTGGAGCTCTGCACGTGTGCGTGCTGTTGTTGCTTGATGTTTTAAGACCGGGTCGTGCACTGAAATGCCCGAGAACAAATAATATGAGCTGCAACTTGTTTCCTCTGGGGTTCTTCCAAATAATTCAAACTACAGCAACCCTAAATGGAGGTGTAATCCCCAGGAGATGAGCTGCCTTGGATGCTTGCCAGTTTAGCAGGCTGGGTAATCTGCGCTGTCATCAAGATTTGAGGATTAGCTTTAGTGAAGCTAGTTGGCTTTGACATTTCATTAGGGAAGTTTTTAGTAGTTTTTCATCCTCTGTAAATATATAATGAATATTATGCTGTAAAATATAGATGATGCAGTTTTGTTACCCTTATACCTTTTAATATTCGTGCAAGTTGAGGCCGGAACTGCAGACATCTTTTATCTGCTGAGTATTTTTTAAATCATTGCTTGTTTAGGAAAGACTAACTGAATCAAAGGCTGATTTTGTAAAGGATCTGCTTCCCCCAGTGCTTACCAATAAATTTTCATCTGGGTAATTTAAGTTACCGAAGTGTTATCTCCCAAAGAAGGGATAAAAGCAGACACTACTTATCCTATAATCTGAAAATATTTTGAGAAGTGAACTGGAATATCAATAAAATGGCTTATCATCAAGGTCTCACAAGAGCAGTAGAGGACATTTATTTAAAAATCAAAATGCTAAATTTAGAGGAATGGACGGGGCTCGTGAGAAGGGAGTGTGTACAAGTGACAGTGCTGTAAATTGTCTCGAGGGTTCAAGGGACTGGGGAAGGACACCGTGTCCTGAAGTCACTTGTTCCCAGCAGAGATGTCTCTGCTGATAAGAGCTGGTTGTTGTTTGTGATGACAGTGATCGAGGAGGACAAGGTAGAGGCTCACCCATAAGCTCCTGCAGCTTTTTTCAGAACAGGGCTGTCGCCTGCTTTATTTATCACAGCATGAAGCGCTCCAAGTTTTTTGCCTGCTGCAGAGCACGGGTGCAGCTCCTCGGAGCTGCATTTGCCATAATGCTCTTCCAAGTTCTTCTGCATGACTGTGCCCATGGGCACCGTGGTACTTCTGGGGAAGGCCAAGAGGGGTTCATGGGGGCCAGCAGGGAGACCCGGCTCCAACTTGCAGCAGGGGCCTGGCAGATGAAGGAAGGGGAGGTCCCTGCCCCCTTTTGGCTGTCTTGCCTCCTTGTTTCTGCCTTGCTCTCCTTTATGCCAGTAACATTCTGTCCTTCACTGTTGACAATTATTGAAGCGGTTCTGGCGACAGCATTTGTTATCTGACCTACAAAAGCTGCAGAAATGCCGTTCTTCAACTTTGCGACTTAATCACTGCCACAGGAATCAATCCTTCCCAACCTTGTACATTAGTGAGGTCTGGGCCCCGGGTTGAGCAGACTGGATGTATTGATTGGCTCCTTTCCCACCAAAATCCGTGAAAAACTTTCATCCAAGGATACTCAGCAGTTGTGTGGTAGGGCTGACCAGGTCAGTCACACAGGATCCTACTACCACTATCTTGGCACTCATGGTGCTGGGGATGGAGTAGCTGTAGCATCCATGCCAGGCCATGCTGTGGGCTCTCTGGTTCCTGAGGGCTGGTACAGGCTGGCATTCCTTGCTTTGCTGCCTGCTTCTTGTCTTGCTGTCAATAGCAGTGTATGAGCACTGACTCCTGAAGTCTGCAATGTGCTGATTTGTACTTCTGTTGCAGAGCCTATGAAGTGAAGCTGTGAGTGAAAAGTGGAGCTAGTTGAACAATTTACTTCGTTTTACTTAAAAAAATAGAGAAGTAATAAAAATAGAGTTAAGGTTGGGCTGAATTTTTCTAGGGCTTCAGCATTTCTCCATCATCTATGTCATGGCAACCTGAAGTGGAACAATGAGTGGTTGAACTGAACCTCTGATGAATATTTCTGCAAGCATTTATTTTAGCGAGATGAGGAGGTGCCGTTAGCAGAAATGCATCCAGCATAAGGAGCTAAACATCTTGTGAGTGCAGAGGTCTTGATCTGGGATAAAGCAGCATCTCCCACAGGCTGTGTTCCTGTGATCCAAAAGGTGTGGAGAAAGGGGGTGTGTGTGTTTGTGCACATACGTTGTATTCCTATTGAAGGTGAATATCAATTTTGATTATCCGAATATTGATATAGCAGTTTAGAAATAGTTTGCCCAGAGGAGTTGTTTGCACTGTTATATTTACCTGCCCAATGAAATCAAGACAGCCCTTCATTCCATGAATCGCAGTACAGCACAGTGTTTGCCATTCGGATTTCTATGGTTGCACCAAGCATGCAACAGTATCCAAAGAATTTTATTGAATCAAAGTAATAAAACTGAAAAGTAGTATTGACTTTTCTTTGGCTTTTTCAGCTTCTTGCTAATTTTGGCCTTAGAATATATTTCAATGCTTTTTAGATTCCATTTTATTTAGTTACTTTATCGCTCAGATTGTAGGCTTTCTGTTAAATCATGGTAACTGTTTGTTGTAAAGAATGGGACATTCTTCCTAGTGCTTACTGGCCCCAGTGTAACATACATTTTCTAATGATTTTTGCTGTTTTGCTGATTTTGAGAATTCGAAGCGCAAAGTGGGTTTATGCAGGCCACATGAATTTCTGGCTTCAAGGCAACGATAAGAATTTTAATGGCTTCGTAAATGACACCATGCATTTAAAGTTGGTTTTCAGCCATCTCAAGATAGTTTGTTGTGCAAGAGTGGCTCCAGAGCAACATTCTTTCCTTCCAGAAGAGAAGGTGCCAAGGGGATTGGTATGTGGAAGTGACTATAGACTGAAAGGTCTACTTCAGGAGTCTTAAGGATGTCCTCGATGTATTTTCACTCAGCGCAGCCTCCTGTTGTTTCAGAGGGCAGCAGTTCTGCAGATCACACTGTGGAAGCGCCCTGGTGCTCTTTATAGACACTTGCTTCCACTGGCTGGCCACTGCCTTCAGGCTGCTCAGGCCTTCACACCAGCCCTTGGGAAGCCTTTGGAGGGCTGCAGAAGAGAGCACGGCTCTGCCCAAGGAAGCGTGCTTGCATGACCTGGCTTTTTGTGGTGCAGCCAAGACGCCACGATTTTTCTCCAACTTTCAAAGTTAGAGAAATGCATCACTTCCTCAGTTGCGGTTGGAGATATTTCCCATCCATCTTTGGCAGCTCTTTTAGAAAGACAGTAGACATCCCTCTCTGAGTCTTGTTTTCACAAGCTAAGGGGTTGCAACCATTCTTTCTCACACTGTTCCCTAACATGCACAGTTGTACCCTCTCTTGGTTTCACTTCCTCTCTGCAGCATCATTCATCTTCTGCCTTGCACTAGGCTTTTTCCTCAGTTCCTCTCTTCATCTTCCCTACCACCATCATGCATTTTTTCCTGGTTTTTTTCCTGCCTGGATCTCTCTGCGCATTGTGCATCTCACTTTTTGCAGCAGGCACCACGCACCCCCAGAGCTAGGATTGCTAATCTCCCTTTTAGTGCCAGATCTCCGTGTTCTACCATTTCCTTCCATTTCAGCCATTCTGGGAGATAAATCATGAATGTCAGAGGAGTGGACCTTCTTGCGATGGTGTGTGAAGTATGAGAGGAGTGGTGCTGTTCTGCCAAAAGGTGTTCAGTGACTGCTATCAAGTGGTCCTTTGATCTGGAGACAACCCAGAAGTCCTCACAGTTCTGCAATACAGATGTCAGGAGCTCTGCTTCTTCTACCCTTCCCTCTCCTTACGCCCCTTCCCTCACTTTTCTGGGTTGTGCTCCTCACCTCCATGGGCCTGGTGGCCCTGTCTGCCAGGCAGCTCCTGCAGCCCTTCTTATGTGTCTCTGAAGCTGTTCCGCAAACATCCCTCCGAGTTGAAGGTGGAGTTTCACAACCTGTGGGCCTTAATAGTAGAGCTGAATGTGTTTTTCCCTCAAGATCAGCAGCAGAGTTCTGAGGTTCTTGAGGAGAAAATGGTGTTATCTCTCTGGTACAGGCAACAGATACAGGTGATTTCAGGTCATCTGAATAATAAAGGTGCTGAACAACAGTTGCTTGCAGACAGTTGTGCTGTGGTCAACATGCTGGTCACCTCTGGCTTTAAAATAGCTTTTTTTTCTTCTTTATTTTAGTCCCCAGATTTACTCTGCAATGGGAACTGTGCTTATCGCATGTTTAAAGCAGATTTCTTCACTGTGCGTATGGAGGAAGGTAAAGGAAGTGATAAATCTCTAAAGCCAGTAAGATAAAACAAATCCCCTCTAGCGAAGGGCCAGATATGGCATCTTCTCCTATCTCAGTGTTTCGGTCTGCAGCTGCCCTCACTGGTGGGAAGATGGCTGCTGCTGCAGCACAACAGAGGGTGCAGGAGGAAGGCCAGGGAGCAACTGCATCACTAAGTCCAGTGCAGGGTTGAGGTGCTCTCTGTCAGCGATGGAGAGATATATGGGGTACTAGAGGGAAAAAAACCACCACTGTGGTTGAAAAGAAAATGAAGAATAGGATTGGGACACCGAGAATTTTTGGCTTCTTTTCCCCCCAATAATCTGAAGAAGGTCCGTTGTCCTCCCAG